GAGAGAAAGAGAGAGAGACAGAGACACAGAGAGACACAGAGAGAGAGAGACACAGAGAGAGAGACAGAGAGAGAGAGACAGAGACAGAGAGAGAGACAGAGAGAAAGAGAGAGAGACAGAGACAGAGAGAGAGACAGAGAGAGACAGAGAGACACAGAGAGAGAGAGAGAGAGAGAGAGAGAGAGAGAGAGAGAGACAGAGAGAGAGACAGAGAGAGAGACAGAGAGAGACAGAGAGAGAGAGAGAGAAAGAGAGAGAGAGACAGAGAGAGAGAGAGAGACCTATCTTACATGTTTTAAAATACTTGTACGGCAAAAGTAAATGTTTCTCCTTGTTTTCACTATTTAACAAATGTGTCTATCCTATCATTGGTCTAACCCCATGTTTCTTTGGGTAAATTAAAACCGCTGTATAGTTCTTATGTGTTATTTAGAGCCAGAAAAGTCCTGTTTGAGATATAGAGCACAATCACACAAAGTAATCAACTGGACTCGGTTCACTTAAAAAACAAATGCAACAGTCCTCAAAGTCATAGATCTGTTTTTAAATATGTTTTGGTCCATAGTTTCACATCACCACAAATTAAATATAAGTTGTCAAACAGAATTAGGCCTAAGTGAATGCACACATAGGCAGCTATTTTTTTCTTAGATACAGTATGGTAAGTCCTTTCTTTGGTGATGCTTTGTGTGAAGGGTTTGAGATAACATTAGATGAGATAGATTTTATGGATCTCACACTGGAGAAATGTACATGTCACATTTGGCACTTCTGTCTTTTGCACAAACATGTTAAAGAAAATAGAGTCTGTGCAGGATACAATTATGTACAATAACCAGAACCAGAACCACTGTACAGTCAACTTTAACACAAACCAAACTGAACGTACGGTAGAATGTGTATAGGGAGCTGCATAAGTACTACTTGAAATTATATGATCAGTCCATGGAGTTTCAGAATCAAGTTTCATGGATTCTAAATATCGTGCCTGGGTTTGGTCCTTATATTAACACCACACTTACAGTAATTCAAACCAAACAAGTGTACAAATGAAATGATTCTTAAAGTGATAGTCTGGAACTCTAAATTAATTACACATTTTAAGAATTGTATTAAATTGACCTCCTGGCCCTAAATGTTGATTGTGTTGAATAAATATAAATAAATGTTGAATTCTAATACTACGGGTAAGTCCCGCCTTCCCTTCTCTTAGCTATAGCTCAAAATCAACGATGCTGTCCACTTTAACCAATCATGTGATGCCAAGGGCTGTCAATCATCGCGCGGAGCTACGAGCAATGATTGACAGCCCTTGGCATCACATGATTGGCATGCTCAGTTGTTTGTTTTCACGGAGCCTCCGAATCAAGCCTCTATTTGGCTCTGGAACTACATGAAAATTGAGCAAAGAATTCTGAACATCTGCGCTGAGTTACCCATTTATACTGTATACTGAACCTATATCCATAATCATTTATATACTGAACCTATATCCATAATCATTTATATACTGAACCTTCATCCATAATCATTTATATACTGAACCTATATCCATAATCATTTATATACTGAACCTATATCCATAATCATTTATATACTGAACCTATATCCATAATCATTTATATACTGAACCTATATCCATAATCATTTATATACTGAACCTTCATCCATAATCATTTATATACTGAACCTATATCCATAATCATTTATATACTGAACCTTTATCCATAATCATTTATATACTGAACCTATATCCATAATCATTTATATACTGAACCTATATCCATAATCATGTATATACTGAACCATATCCATAATCAGATCGTCTGCAGACGTGTCCTATAATGTTCAATCAACGTTTATAGCTACTTCCGGGTTTACCGCAATCGTCTTTTTTTGCATTAAAACATTATTTTTGTCATGAAAACATTAACCAATCATTCTGAAAACCTCTGTGCATGTGTATTAATAATGTTTATGCATAATGTGTTCTCAGATTAACATTTAAATGTGTTGATTAATTGTTACAGAAACGTAGGCGTTGACCAATCAGAAAGGAAGGGGGAGGGAGCTTGGGTCGTTTTGTTCAAATCATGTACAATCGCGACAAACTCCAGACAATCACTTTAATGGAATGAATGCATAATGTCAGAATTGTTGGTTGACTACTGTATATACTACACAGTACTGACTACGGTGAAAAAATAAAATCAAATGTGTTGTTACCTTGAAATGTTGCCCACTGAAAAGGGCCCATGGCTGATTTTGCTTCTACCTACTCTTTTGAGCCCTTCTTTGTAGATGTGTTGTCTTTTGTCAAAAAATGCACTCAAATAGAAATGTATGAATTGATCTTTGAAATGTATGCTCAAAGCAGTATTGTTGTCTACATTACATTCGAAAGACGTGGTATGATGTTTGTGCACCTGGCCGCAGAATAGTGATTGCTTTTGGGAGGTGCGCTGTGGTTAACTTTGGAAGGTTGCTCCAAGTTCTGGTCAGAAATAATGTTTTTTGGCTCCAAGCGCTGAAGTCTGGTGGTTGTAAATCAATATATCTGACAGGAGATTTTAAATGATTTTGGGGGAAAAGCTGAGTGCACTGTTTTATTACAAATGAGAGGGCTTATGTTCAAAAGATGAAGTGGGGAGACAAAGGAATTGTTAGATCTAAGGTTAAAGTTCTTCACGTTGACTATTGATTGTTTTTTGTACTGGCTCAGATTAACCATTGACAATATACAGCAGCAACCTTTTCCAAACAAGTGAGGTTGCTAACATTTGGAAAGGGAGAAAAAAGGATTTCAGTGGTTTAAACAAACAGTGGTCCTCAAACAGTGAAACTAAACAACCAAACACGACTTAGTAACTTTGCATGGCCAATTGAAAAAAAATAATCAAACCAGACCCAGAGGCAAAGTTGTATGTTTATGGCCCTAAAATTAGATAGATGCATTGGACTGAATTAGTCGCTTCAGGGTTAGTAATTTATCGTTTTTCTCCTTTAGAAGTAGACCTAATAGTCACAGAACTTTACAAAGTGTGGGTTGTGTGCATGCAATCAATACACGGTGTGGAAATGCAGATGTTTTATGCAGTGGTCTATGCTAGCTGACTCATTGTAGTGTTATGAATGGGAAAACAATAATCTTGTTCCAGGTGAAAAGCTTGCAGAGTTTGAAAACCATCCAATATTTTCTACTTGTTTGTACATTTCCCAGAGGTGTTGTGGCCCAGTGGCATCACACACATCCCTTTGACAACAGCATTTCATATTAAACATACAGCAACAATAATCAACAATGGGTCTATGGTTGAAATTCCGATGGTGTCAAAAACGCGGAATAAGGCTTGTGTACACTTCAAATTCCATGTAAACCAGGGACAAACGGAAGCAAGCTGTTTTCAAACCTGCGTGGACTTATCACTATGGGGAAGACAAAAAAAATAAACTTTTGAATTTCCAAATCAGTCTTCAGAAGTCACAGCGCAATAATCTAGGATCAGAGATAATAATGGACTGCAACTTTCTCATTCATGTGAAGCAATATCAACATTTGCAAACATTTTTTTTTACAAGGGCAACTTCATGAAGGACAGAACAGCGCAACATAGCCACAAAATTTGAGAGCAAGAGCTTCACTATTGTTACACGGCCTGCTATGCTGGACTTATGTAAAGTATCCAGGGAATTTTGTCTACTTTTACCTTCACCAGACCCACAAGTAAGCCACTGGCTATAAACAAAATTTTAATATCAAAATTATTGTTGTATTTGGTTGGCGGATTCCAACTTTACATGCCTCGGCAAAATCTACCAACCTGCGTCGCTCAGTACATTTAGCATAGTGTGGATTTGTAATATTTTGGTAGTTGGTTTCATTTTTTGATTTTTCTTTGGAATATTTTTAGTTTTATCACCCCACCCATTATGTGTTTAATCTGTGTCTGTGTCTCCCAGTTAAATGTTAAATGGTATTATTTCCTCTGTTCCAGTCTTTGTTCCTTGTGTGTACTTCAGTTCTGTTTTAGTATTAGTGTTACATGCAGGGCTGGACTGGCCATCGGGCATACCGGGCAATGCCCGAAGGGCCGATGCCCATATTTGGGCCGGTCTGTCTGCTTCATACAAAAAACATGTTTGTGAAAAATGTTTGAGGGGGGGCGCGCATGTCCGCGGCCAACTGCTGTATATACTCGAACGGGATTGCGCCACCTCAGCGGCCGCAGTGTTCCGAGACAGCTGCGCCCGCTTTGTAATGAGCGGTTCAAGCATCCAGCGGCTCTGAGCTGGACGCGGGAACCACGAGATCCGCTCACAACACAACACAACACGGTGAGCGCGTAGCCTCAACGTGACCATATACCCAAGACCATAAACGCGCACAGGACCATGCATTTCTTTGTGTAATCTGTGCACCCAATAAATACACCGCTGCAGGAAACAGTCCGCGTCTCCCCTCTCCTCTCGAAGTGCGACTAAATTAAAGCTCAGGTACCTAAATTTTCCATTGCATTAAAAGTTAATATTTGAGCCCATGTAGTAAAATGTTGTGAACAAATCAAACAGATTTAGTGACAGACAATGGCTGGCATTATGAATTTCAGACTTTTTTGACCAATTCTCATCCCTGTAATAAACAATAGTGTTGTCTGTGTCCACCTCCTTCACTCTGAGACATGTTTATTACTCTCTTGTAATGTAGACTATTGCACTGTATTTCAATCGTTGAAACTGCACATATCCTGATCCTCTAGTATTTTCTTTACTTTCAGATCATGAATATGTACTTTAAAAAAAATGAGGAACATTAACTGGCAATCTAAATTTGGGAAAAGATACTAGCTCACTCCACCCCTGCACTTCATCAATGTCACAATAAAAAAGTACAGACATTCAACAATGCAGAAACATAGTAGACAAAGACATGTAAGAGCAAAGACATTTTGAGTCTTAATATGATGGGTAAAAAAGGTGAAAAGCTCTATTGATATCTCTTCTTAAATTATTCTTACCAGATCTTCGATGATCTCTTTGACAGCTGCCACCAAAAGAATAAAGAGGAGGGGGACCAGAGTTGTCCAGCGACCAGTGGGAGAAACATCTGGAATTTGCTAAACGAAGAACACCAACATAAAATTAGCTAAAAGTATACATTTCAATAGCACCATTGCAAATTTGAAAAGTTACCAAAAAATAAATGTAATGGGACAATAGTACAAATGTGTTTCCCCTGATTTTGTGTTTTTGTGTGAAGATTTAGTATCTCAGAAAAGTTTAAAACAAAGGCCTTATTTTGTCAAAGCCACTGACAGAGAGTGCTGCTGCTACTCCTGATACACTATTATGGAAACTTGTGAGAAAATGGATCTCCCGTCTTCTGCTTGGATGTTTTATTCAAGGTCGCAGCATCGACGGCGCAGGTAATGAAGATTCACACTGGCTGCTGTTCAAAGCCCCAACTACAAGGTCACGGGATAGAGCCGATTTCCATTCTGCTGCCTTTCATTAACATGGACCAGTCTGTCAGCACTGGCACTCAGGGAGACTATTGGGCACCAACGACTACACTTCCATGGTTTGTTGTCAATAAAACCTAGATTGAAGCTGCCGACTTTTGTCCAATTAAATGGACAGAGTGAATTATTCAAATTTACATAATCTGTCCACTTTCTTTTTTAATCAATATTGCTGATGGTTTATATTTCTACAACTGTTTGTTTGTTTGTTTCCTCACTCGACTACTATTGAGTGTGACCCCCATTAATAACATAAAAGTACTATTAACATTAGCATGCTTATTGTTGATTGGTCATAAATACAAACAGGAAATGTATCATGGTGACAAGTTAGTGTTTCCATTAAAGAGCATTTTGGTTATTTTCTGTAACATTACATGAAGCGATCCATCTACAGGGTCAGGTAAATGTATACAGTTGGAAGTGTACATAGTTTTTCTAATTAACTGAACTTGCATTTATGACTTGGTATAAAGCAATATAAATTATTGAGTAGAAACATACTGTGGTGACAGTTTTTGGAGTAATTACATTAAAACCAGCCGCAGCAAATACACGGACGTCAAAGGCCTTTTATCAATGCAGACGACCTTCTGACGCCATGCTGAGCTTTGTGAAGGTCCCTGCTGTCTGTCACACCCTTGTGTCTTTCCGTCTTGCATCTGTATGACCTGCATTTCCACCATTGTCTGTCTGTTCACACCCCATGCCACTGCCACCACAGGGGATAGCGCCGGCGCTTCCTGTGCGCCTCCTCACCGGTGGCCCCCTCCGCTCCGTTGTGGGCGTGACTATCTTTGGTGTGTGTCTTGTATACAGGAAGCTCGGGGCTCTGGCCCCCAGAGCTGGGACATGCTGCTTTTGGAGTGTATGTGCTGGCTCTCCGCACTGTGCGTTAACAATAAACTTACGCTTTTGATCAGACAAAGGACCTTTGAGTTTTCTCCTTCATGGGGTATATAATTCTATAACAATTTGGCGTTGCTGACATGTCTTGGCATGGATACTTTCGGCGGGGACGAGCGGCTTTGTTTGGCCGACCTGGATCACCAGCCTCTGTTCCTTTTTGGAGACAAAGGAGGGCGGCGCTCGTCCCGCGCACGGAAGGAATCCTTTTGCCACACAAGACCAAAAAGAACCTAATCTGGTGAGTCTTGTCTTTTCATCTGCGTAACGAGCCCAGGGCAGCACTTAAGTGTACACGGGGATTTGTTTATTTATGTATTTTTGGGGTATTTCATTCATTGCCACAGCATAGTCTGTGTGCGGGATTTTTTGGGGGCTTTTTGTTCTAGATTGAAACTAGCGGCTGCGCGTTAGTATCGCATTGTAAGCGACCCTGGAATCTCTGAGTGTCTTCAGCCAGAACCGCTCCGTTTTCAAGAACGCGCGCTCGCTGGTTGAACCAGCGGGGGGGGGAACGGAGCGCCCCAAAGTGGGTAGGAGCAGGGAGAGACTAAGCGGGTTAGGCCCATTGTTCGTACGAGAAAATGGGTAAAAAACAATCTAGAAGATGCAAGCTATGGAGTGCTTGCCTATGGTGCAGGTCATCTGCGTGATAATTTAGAAGAAGAAGGGGAGAAAAAAAAAATATATACTTGGTTTTAAGAATATCACGGCAAAAGAGGTTAGAGAAAGAAATATGTAAAAACAATAGCTCCTCCGCCTTTCACCAAAGCGGAGAACACACAGGCGCACACACACGCCCTCTCTCACCTACTAACCCTTTCACACTAGGAGCAGAACTCCATGCTAAGTACGCGCCCAAACAAGGCGTTGGGTTTTTAAAAAATGAAGCAGACTACTGTTGTCTCTTTTCCCTCTTCCCTATCCAGGTCTGTCGGCGCCTTTCCTCCGCGCTCTGTCCTCTGCCTCAAAGCACCAGCCCCACGCCCCAACCACAGGCGGCGCCCGCACCAGCTGAGACCCCGCGAGAAGTGGGCCCAAACCGCAGAAGAAGAAGAGGCGGAAACAGACACACGCTCAGGAAACCACAGAAGAAGAAGCGAGGGAAACAAATATGTGAGACACCGACAACTGCTTTGGAGCACAGAGAGAAACTGCTCCAAATCCCGTGACTGTTCTCCACGGAGGGGGCAGCGTGATATACCAAACGCACCCGCGGAAACCCGCTTGAAAGTTGTTCCCGCACCGCAAACAGAAGAAGCCATTGTGACCGGCACGTTTGGGTTATTCACCAACCCTCATGGACCACATGCTAACGCTCTGGGCTACCTGGGCCTCCTGCGGACTTTGCAAAACTTCCACAGCCCGGCGGAAAGACTGTGTGCTCGACATGGGTCGAAGGACTGTTACCGGAGGAGGCGTTAAAGGCAGAGGGCCTCTCAAGCTCACACGGGGCCAGAGGACGGCAGAGGCGGGCACGGAGGAAACACGAGCGACTGACCAAACCTGGGTTCACATTCGTCACCAAAGCGACCGCTCATGTAAGTTGAACAACAACAAATTGCAATTGGCACTTTTTAGAGATAATTCATGCCCGTAATATACGCTAACAACCTGTGGTGTACAAGTTAAAATTCTGGATGACTCCGGGGCAACAAATTCTGTGCTAAAAGTGACAGCCTTTCTGTCTCCCCTAAAATGAGCGGCCGCTTCATATTCTAATTAGCAGCGTCGGAGAGACGACTAAAGAGCAATTTACGTCACCGCTAACGTGTTTTGATTCTCAGGGCAACCAGCTTAAACATTCTTTTCTATATTCCCCATTGTCCCCGGTTAATCTACTAGGCCGAGACCTTATGTGCAGACTCAATTAAAAATAGATAAATAAAAGGAGGCACCGGTCCCAAAAGTTAACTACCACTGGAAATTGACACCAAACCCTGAGATTGCTAAGTTATTAGCCACAACAAGTGGATAGTGACGCCCGCACAAAATTTGGAGGTCAACCACGCGAACGACCTAAGCTGCTCTCTCCGGTCGTTGCCAGACAATAACTTGGAGTTTGAAAATTCATGCAGTGTAGGGAAGATAGGCTAACGGAGTACGTTTATTGAGATAGGCACCACTATCTGTGCTACTTAATGAGTAACAAAAACATTTTTATCGTGAAACAAAGGTGAAGTATTAAAGTTTGAGACTAATTTACATTTTTAATGAATCCGACCTGGCTTTATTGAAAAAGAAAAAAATAAGGAAAATAAACATTTTTTTAGGTGACAAGAGCTCATTAGAGATATAGGGGACACAATCTGTGATAAGCCCGAAGTATAGACCACGTGGTAAACACTAAAGTTGGAAATGGATCCTTTTAGGAAAACTCTTTTAAAGCTCTGCAGGCTCTGAAAGTTGCAACAATAAGAAATAGCTCATGAGACAATTGGAATTGGACATGGAAAAATATAACAAAGTTAAAAGTACAGGCCTTCTGTGTTGTTATATGTTTGTGTGTGTTATATGTTTTGTGTATGTTATATGTTTGTGTGTCATGTCAAAGTACACCACGCTGACCTTAACAAACTCTGGACCAATACTAACGTGGGGATCGGCCTGTGATGTGACTGTGATATGAGTGTGATGTGTGAAATAAGGAGTGAAATGAGGAGTGCTGAACGGAGAATGGAATAACAAATGTGTCTGTAATGTTTTAATGTGATCATGGAATAATTCTTTTTGTCAACAGCATACGGTGTAAGTACTAGAGATTCAAAGATAACGACCTTTATTGAACAGGTGTAAAAGTGAGAGTACTCTGGGATGAGTACTCTGAGAAAAGTACTCTGCGGAAAGTACTCGGAGATGAAATACCTCGCTGAAGATATTGGGAGTCCCTCCCTCTGCTGTTTGCCCTGACAGTGATTCGGTCCAACCGCAGTGAGCGGTCATTGGGCGGAGGACAACTTTGGTCTGTAAACTCACATTTAGGGGAGTATAAAATTATAAACATACATTTTGTTGTTCTGTATTTGGCTACAGCCTCCGCCCTGATGCCACACACCACCTGTCAATGCAGTTATGTTTTGCCCAATTGGGAAAAAGATTGACAAGCGAAAGTGGGCATTTTTTGTGTTTTTTTTTGTGTTCTGATATTTCTTTTTCAGATGAGAGATAAACTACCCCTGCTCCAGGGATGACAGTAGTATGGATCAGGAGGAAATGAGCCTCCACTTTGGCACAAAAGCCCACAATATGAATTGAGGACGATCCGGGAGAAAAGCAACTGGAGATGAACGGAACAGTCGGTACTTTTGCAGCCTCACTGAGGGCCACTGAGACCCACTGCTTACTTCTCAGCAAAACTCGATCCCGTGGCAGCAGGGTTGCCTCGCTGCCTGCGGGCTGTGGCTGCCGCTGAGAAAGCGGCCCTAGCATCACGTGACCTTGTGGGATACACTGAACTAACTTTGCTTGTGCCCCATGCTGTTTCCCTGATCCTGTTAGAGCAGAGGGCCTCTCGCCTTTCTGCGGCTCGTTGGCTGGGGTACAACACGGTGCTCTTTGAACTACGGTGAAGGGATGCACACAGCTGAACCCCTCCTCGCTGCTGCCCACGCCAGAGGAAGGGGAGGCACACTGCTGTATCGCCACAATAGAACAGATATGCACTCCCAGGCCAGACCTGAAAGAGGTGCCTCTGACTAATCCTGACTTGATTTTTTTTATATACAGACGGAGCCGCGTCACGTGACAACACTGGGAAGAACCGAGTCGGCTATGCTGTGTGTTCTGATTTTGATACTATAGACTCTGGTAGTTTGCCCCACTACCACTCAACACAAACCGCTGAGCTGGTCGCGCCCACCGGGGCTTGTGAGCTGGCAGCGGGCAAAACTGTTAACCTATTCTGTGATACGCGCTATGGTTTCTCTGTGGTGCACGACTGGAAAGCACTGTGGAAACACCGCAATTTTATGAAATCTGATGGTAAACCAATTCTTAATTCCACACAGGTTGAACGTCTGCTGAAAGCTGTAATGTTGCCCTTAGAGATCGCTGTATGCAAATGCCAGGCCCACACTAATGCCACTGATCCCATCTCTGCAGGGAATCGGCGCGCGGACAAGGCAGCGGCATACGCACCTCTACACACACACACACACACTACCTCACTCAAGACGTTGATATTTTCTACTCCAGCAGAGACGCTGCTGTGGGGGAGGGGAATGGGGCTCAACGACGGCATGGTGTGTGTGGCTGGGACCAGACAGCAAACCGTGCCTACCACGGCATTTCTTCAGACAGTTTGCAATTTTAGCACATGGTCGAGACCATGCCTCAAAAGGAGGGATGATGTGTGATTTAATCACACAAAATTGGTATACAAAGGGGTTTACGGCATTTGCACAGAGATTCAGCCAAACATGCGCTATATGCCCCGCGCACAACCCAGGTAAGTCCCAAAAGTATCCAACAGGCTGCTCATCCTCCGCCCCTGCGCCCATTTCAACATGTCCAAAGGGACTTTGTTGAACTCACACCATGCCAAGGTAAGTAATACTGTCTGGTTCTGGCGGATCTCTGGTCCAAATGGACTGAAGTATTTGCAGGCATACACGCCACAAGCAACGCGGTGGTGAAAGCTCTGCTCACAAAAATTGTGCCCCGAGAAAAAATCTCTAGTGACACTGGCAGTCACTTTGTAGCAAAAGTCATTGAGGAAGTGGGTGAATTTCTGGGCATTGATCCCCCTGGCCCGGAGGCGCGTGCGAGCGAGAGAATGGCACTCAAAGCTCTGCCGCTAGCCCTCATGTACATGCGCATGAGAGTCCCATTCGAAATCCTCTGTGCCAGACCACCCAACTTGGGCGAGGGACCCCCGAACAGAGATCTGCCAAGCACCTCTTTGTGTGATGACGACATGCTGTCCTATTGTAAGGAAATTAATGCACTTTTGTCCTCTATTTCTGCCCAGGTCAGGAGCGCCCTGCCACAGGCTGCGCAGGCGACTGGGTCCTGGTGAAGGAAACGAGACGAAAGCACTGGCGGTCCAAGCGCTGGCTCGGCCCATTCCTCGCCCTCCTGGTGACGGACACTGCCGTTAAGGTCGCGGAGAGGACAACTTGGATCCACGCCAACCACTGTCGTGCGGTGCTGCCACTGAGGGCCATAGACGAGGACACCGAGGGCGCGGACGGACCAGGCCCATCCGCGGCTCCCTACGATGAAGAAGTCGGCCGGCGTGCGGCCACCGTCGGTGAAGCAGGCCAACAACAACACCCAGAGAATCCCAGCGTTCCCGAGGCGACCCCCCTTTTGCCCAACTCCCCAGCCCCCGGATCCCAAGGCTTGGGAGCCATGAAGGCCCTGAGCGCTCTGCTCAGCTGCAGCAAGTATGCAGAGCTGCTGCCCATTCCAAAGATTTCTCCAGAGCTTGTTCCCTCTGGCCATAATGCAGATTTGAGCTCTGCTGGAGTGCCCCCCTGGTGTCTCGTCTCCCGTGTGTCCGGAGGAGGTGGAGATGAGGGCTGCTCTACAGTTCCTGATGAGGCACATGGTGAAGCGTGCTGTCATGAGGTCTCCCATCAAATGAGCTTTGGGCCTGGCCGATCTGGAGCGTGCTCAAGCCATGGTCTCCACACCCCAAACCCCGAGCACTCTGCCCAACCGAGTGCTGAGGCCAAGGCTTCAACGCAATTAGAGTCTTGCCGCTCCAAGACCAAACATCGCCATGACCACTAACGCTCCACACACGCTCATAGGGAGCGGTGCCACTGACTGCGAGACGGCACTGCTCGTGAGTATTCCCGCGGAAAAGACTACCGAACGTAGACCGGCATGGGCCCTTGGACTGTTATGCTGGCCACACTGACACTACTTTCCGTGCTGACCGTGTTTATTATGTTAATATTGCCTTCTCTTATCGCTGTCCGGATCCATTGTGTTATTATAATGTGCTCTTTCTTTTATTGACAAGCATGTGTCTTTTCTTGTCTACTTTGGACAGCAATAATTTAAGTGTTTCAAGCTTGAAGGTGGTGTGATTACGATGCCTCTGGTATTTAACTGATTAATGCAAAAATGGTTTTGAATTATCAAAAGAGGGGAGTGTGGTGACAGTTTTTGGAGTAATTACATTAAAACCAGCCGCAGCAAATACACGGACGTCAAAGGCCTTTTATCAATGCAGACGACCTTCTGACGCCATGCTGAGCTTTGTGAAGGTCCCTGCTGTCTGTCACACCCTTGTGTCTTTCCGTCTTGCATCTGTATGACCTGCATTTCCACCATTGTCTGTCTGTTCACACCCCATGCCACTGCCACCACAGGGGATAGCGCCGGCGCTTCCTGTGCGCCTCCTCACCGGTGGCCCCCTCCGCTCCGTTGTGGGCGTGACTATCTTTGGTGTGTGTCTTGTATACAGGAAGCTCGGGGCTCTGGCCCCCAGAGCTGGGACATGCTGCTTTTGGAGTGTATGTGCTGGCTCTCCGCACTGTGCGTTAACAATAAACTTACGCTTTTGATCAGACAAAGGACCTTTGAGTTTTCTCCTTCATGGGGTATATAATTCTATAACAATACAGAAACCTCCCATTTCTGTGACATAATGCCACTTTATTGAATTTGGTAAAAAGAACAGACTTAAAACAGGTGGGTGAATACATTGTGTATTTTTACCCCTGTATAGATCACTTCAAGTACAAACATTAAAATAACTTTTGAGGGTCACAATCAACACGGCTGCAGGATACATAGGATACACATCTACATAATGGGTGACTATAATAGCACGATCAATATTAACTTAAATATGTCTAAGATCCAGGTCCAAGGACATGTTGCGGTTTTGAACATGGTTTTATGCAGTGGCACACATATTACATGTATTATTCATTATCAGGCACAGATATGAAGGAAGCGTTTGTGTGTATGAAATTACAGCCGTGACCTTAGGAAGATGGTGTCTATAGGTCGTAACAAACACCAGTCACACAGTGAAAACTGTACCAGGCCATGGAGAAGATTAAACGCTAATGAGGTCCTAAATCTATGTATCGGCTACAATCCCAGGCCTCTGGTTTTTAAGCAAGACAGACGAAGTAAAATGGCAGCAGCAATACATCTCACCTGCAGCAGTGCAATGAAGAGGAAGAAGGCATTGGCCGCTCTCCGAAACTGAGAGTAGAGAAACCGTGGTAGGAAGGTGAGGACGTTGTATTTGGCAGTGCTGTAGTCGGCATCACAGAGCAGCGTGTCATGAGGAAAAAGGAAGAGGGAAAGAACACATTTACATCAGGAATTATAAAGTACAATGCTAGGACTATTTCTCACAAAAACTCAACCAAAAAATTACATCATAACGAACCCAGTTTTGCAATTACATCATGATATTTTGTACCATCAAACCATGAACTAAAACACCGCAATGCTGCATTTGTAGATGTAGAGAGTCAGTATGCATGTGTTCTGAAGACTAATGATCCTGAAGAAAGCGTGAGCAGGCAAACATGAGCCGTGCCTTCTGCTGTGGTCCACACTGGAGCTGGTGGAGCCCTCAGAGGCCGCCAGCCAGACCTACAGCAGTCTGATTTACGGCTGTTAAAGGTCCAGTCAGAACAGCCACTTTAGGGGATGATATATGCCATGATGTATGCCAAGCCAACGGCAATGTAGTGCTTACTCACCCATGCACAAACTGGGCACACGTATGAGGCTATGGCCCAAGGCTTGTGAAAAGGATAGCATGTGGAGTTTACAACAAGTCTACATTGCCTAAATAATGAATGTCAAAGACTAAGAACAAGGTTGTGTCTTAACATAACATGACACTGGATAGGGGCTGAGTCATGCGTACAAAGACGGGCAATATGTCCTGATTTAATTGTTATCACAAAAGTGGTGGAATCCACTCAAAGCCTAATTCAAAGAGTGCATGATTATCTCCATAATAATAAAGCTGCATTAGATATAATTCATTCACCACTTGACAATTTCATCAAAAAGCATCAATACAATACTTATTGTCGGGTCATAGCAACTAGTCCAGGAAATGGTAATGGGGGTAAAATGGAACTGAATACCTATTTTGTGTGGTAGGTCTGGATATTACTGGGATGTTTCTAGCATGATAATGAACACATGAGAACTACAGTTTTCCTCAAAGAGATGAGTTAGTTAATGATAGAAATTATGGAAAATTATAATTCCTCATTTTGATTCCAGTAAAATAGTAATACAAGAAAGGACAACCATTCATCAATAGGAATACAGATTCAAATGATGGCACTAACCAGCCTTACACTGGATGAAAGGACAACTGCTTCATTGTAAAGCTTAGAATCAGTTTCACTAATAGACATACAATAAAATGTCCCCATCTCCTCTCATGTTAAAAACTATAGCGCTGAAGGCTGAAAGGAGCTTGACAAATGATGGACCCTGTAGTGAATCCGTCAACATTTGTATAAAAGCAGGTTGAAAGGTGAGTGCCAATATACTGAGTTTGCACAGGCTGATCGAATTACAGTCAACGCCTTTTGTGCTCTGTACATGTAGGTCTATGACGGAGAGTGTGCTGTCACGCATCATCCAAAGCAGAAGACAATAAGTACATTAGAGCACAGGTGTGTCCTCTGTTTATTCTTCTTGACTGAGTTAATTCACAGTTACTGCCTTCCCTGGAGAGATAGAAACAGCAGCTGGATCGAGTTCACTTTGTTTTCATTTGGTCAAATTATGATCGTTTGTGTGAATGGGAAGGAGCCAGATGCAGAAGGGTAGTATCAGCTCGGGTTGCTATGACTTCCTCCAGATATCACCTGACACGCTGCTTAATGGATGGAAGAACAAAGCAATACTTTCACTCAATCCAATCTAATTCTAAACTTGATTATTGATCCTTAAAGCTGGGTTTCTATATTTACATTTAGACGGCTGACTTCTGTCTTGTCACTAATTTCAGCCTTTAAGATAAAGCCTGTCACAATACTTATTATATAATTACTACAAGACATTTTTGACATTGTTACTAAAGCCATACACTCTCAGCCGACTAATCAATGTCGTAGGTGTTCTGTTTGAAGCTATATAAACTCAATAGGAAATGACCTTTAGTGCCACAATTATGTAGAAACCGATTACACAGATCCTTGCCAGACTTCTCAATAAACCGGTTTTTCTGTCCTACAGCCATTTCCTATAAACAAATAGAAAAGCCAAGATGGATCACTCCCATAGAGGCAGAACCAGAGCGTAATCTAATGGAGTGGGCGAGTCTATTCATACTTTGTAGTGCATTTTCAGAAGGGTCGGTGTGTGCCAGCTTGTGGTCGACGGGGATCCGACCACAAAAGGAGATAATCAAATCAGAAAACCACTCAGGCTTATACAACCACACACAGTGCAGATGTATGATGCATTTTTCACAGGCTGTGGACCAAGTGCCATTTAACCATTATGTCAGATCTCATAACAAACACACAGGTATATCATATGCCATTACTGTGTGCAATGGTTCTCAAGAGTCTGGGCGGTACCCTTAGCACAGGGGTTGCCAAATGGTTTAATGCATTTGTTGATGGAAAGGTTTGAGAACCTCTGCTCTAGAGGAATTGCACCTTGTTCTTTCGAACAGGCAATTTCTAACTGTTTGCTTGCTTTAAGTTATTCAATACAAGAAGAAAAGATAGTTATGCCCTCTGGTCCTTTATGCCAGCTTGTTTTTGTGGCCTGTGTGATGGCAGCAGACCTCTTCTTGTGAAACCTAGAGTTTTGAAGTGAGCTCCTTCACCTTATTGTGCTTCTCTTTGACTGTTGTCTCTAAACATGATAGGGTGGAAGCTGCTTCAGTGCAGCTCTGCTGTATGCATCTCCACAGTCACTGACACCTTTCACCTGCAGATCATGGATCACTGCATCCTGCTCCTCCAGTCTCTCTCTGTTTTCGGATCATCTTGTTAGCAGAAGTGAGCACCTGGCCCATGGTGGCCTTGTCAGACACATTTGAAAAGACAGCAGACTCTCTAAAGTCCTCGGCCTAGTGCTTTAAAGGGAGCTCTGTGGCTCTGAGCTGCTGCAGCTCTGAGACAGAGTCGTCAGGAGCAGTTTGGCTGAACATGTCCTGCTGAAAGTGTCCTTCTGTGTCCATGGCCCTGGAGGAAAAATGTGTAGTTACGTTCGCAGACAGAGCTCTTCATCTGCAGCTTGTGTATTACTTTGGCCTGATCTTCTATTGCCTTCTTTTGCCTTGCAATTACCTAGTTTGCAGATGCTCTTGGCCCAGATTAGCCTCGTCACACTGCCTTGTTGTACAGGAAGCAGATGACCACAAAGTTGTGGGTCTGTACCTTAAACCTGCACTCTGTGGTTTTGAGTATAATCTTTGTCTCCGTCAGATCAGCGGCAGAGTCATCAGGCCGTTGTTGCCGAGTTGGGAGCCTCAGCTCTTGGGCCTCGTTAATCTCCCGAAGCTCCCAGAGCCACCTCCTCCAGAGGATGTTGGATCCCACAGGTGGCCTCTTGAAACCCCCTTGGTGGAGGGGGGGCCCCCGTATCATAGAGGCGCTCATCGTTCTCAGACGTGCACAGATTCCATTCTTTCATGTTTTATAGAGAAGGTTTCCTCTGTGTGTATCTGTGTATTGAGTTTATCTCTGACTGAGGCACCAACTAATGATTCTCGAATGGTAATTGTGTTAATGTGATGCATACATAGAGATTACAGAAACATAAATGAGAACAAAAAATCACACCTGTAAAGAGTTTAATCCGCTACCTGAAGCTAGAAAAAAAAAAAAAAAAAGTCCCTAACTCAGGCAACACTAATAGTTCTCAAATCTCTGCTGTGATGTACAATATAGAAAGTATGTATGACCACATTCCCAACTCAAACGGTTTATTTGAGTTTAATACAGACCAACTGTGACCAAATTTTATTAGGCCAAGTTTCCTGTGAGCGCTTGAGAGATTAACCACGATGCCCGACAATACACAGCCCGTAACCTCAACACAACCGGATGGAAGCGTGCGGCCGCTCCATCTACAGTGCGGGATTAAAGTTGTTTTTAGTTGTGCAATTAATCATCTGTCAATTCTGGGCCAGTCTGCCAAAAAGCGACACAGCTGAATAAACAATTCACAAGTCATGCATGTGGACATTTCTTATGAAGGCTGTAATAAATGTGACTGACGTTTTCATAATGACGGCTTTACAGTGCAGACTTGATGCAAACACAGACTGCAACATTGCAAACTCTACATAGTGCAAAAGAAATTATATATATATATATATATATATATATATATATATATATATATATAAGAGAGAGAGAGAGAGAGAGAGAGAGAGAGAGAGAGAGAGAGAGAGAGAGAGAGTATATACATCAATTCAGTGAGGACTTTAGTAACACTGAGAAAAACATACTATTAATGCATTTAAATATAATACTCCCAGAAATAAGAAACTACTAGAGCCATCATTTTGACTGCTCCCACTCAAATCAATAGAATTTATTAAAATAATTAAAATACTTTTACTCAATTTCATTATGAGGTAAAACGGCTTAATATAACTTGAAATACAGCCAAAATAGTTTGTTGAAAGGCGTCTGTTAAAGACCAAATGCTAACTGCTGACAGTAAACAGTGTGATGCTACGGTAATCATCACTCACTTTTCTCTAGTGGAACACCATGCTGAACTAGAACCAGTCCAACACCAGTTAAAAACCAGTCCAGCACCTTGAAAAAAGGGCTTCAACTGCCATAGAAAGAAAACAACTGAAAAGGACTAAACCTGAACTATAGTTAAAGGTAGAACAGCTCAGATTAAAAAAAAAGGTAATTCCAAAAAAAATAATGACATTGACAAAAACTACATATAGAAACAGAAAAAGACACAATAACACTTCCAAAACTAAAAAGGTTCTAGTGTTAAACTAATTCTAAATCAGGTGGAGCTTCAGGACAAGTGAGGGCTGAAGCATACATTATTGCACGTTTTTAGTGGTATAGGAAATCGAAGCACCTGGAGGAAACCCACCCAGACAAAAATAAATCATGCAAACTCCACACGGAACGGAATGCCAGGAGGTGGAATCGAACCCAACACTGAAGGTCCTTGGGTTCGAGGCGTTTCGGGCTGTAATTGGGTCAAATGCACCGTGATAGACTACACTCAATGTCAATGTGGGGGCTACATGCTACGACACAGCAATCTCAATGCGCATATTTTGTGTTATTTTTTAATGAATGAGGTTGTCACACAGGTTGTAAAAGCATTAAGGAGTATTCATTACCAGGATGTGTGTGATCGAATGTTTTTTTAACGCCATTCGATTGTGACACAGTGTAAACGTGTCAGCCGGGTTTCCATCACGTGTGTGGGTCCACCCGCGTCCTGCAAAAGTGTATCGAGTGTCACAATGTCAGGAGACCGAACGCACTATGGCTTAATTTAGCTGTTTTGCTTGTGACCGTAAAGGTTAACGCACATCCACCCGCAGTGACAGCAGGTATGTCGCACTGGGGTCACAAAACACTGACGACCCCAGGGTTAGCGTTACCGGTTTTAAATAACAACACGATAGCGTTTATGGAAGCTATGAAATTGTTTCTAGCAGCAGAGAAATTGTTAGGATAATATACAAGTGGGCCCCGCCGGACTATATGGGTGATACAGCAGCACGATTTCTACAGATACAATATCGGAACACAAGGAGTCAGTTGGAGTCTATCTTTTCAGCCAATATGCCCACTGATTTTCATAATTGTTGCGAACTTTAAATAGCTGAATTAGCAGGTTATTATTTATAATGTTGCAGAAGATTGAACATTTAAATACTTGAGTAGTGCAAGTTCAACATTATATATACAAAACCGCAGCGCATACTATAGACTTGCACAAACTACAAATGTGCTGAATCAGAAGAATAGAGGAAGAATTATGTTATTGCCGTTGTGAGTAACAGGAAGTCACAAACTAGGAAATTGCTTTGGCGCTTTTGGCTCAAATAACTTATAAAAGTAAAAACTTTTTTTTTTTTTACCAGTCCAAAATCTCACTTACTACTACAAAACAGAAATCAAAAATCTACATAACATTTCTTAAAACGACTACTATATATGAGTGCTGATATACTATATGAGTAAAGAGGCTGATGAAAATATAGAGCTGTGTTTGTCTGCTGCTGATGTGGGCATGCATGAGTTGAGAAAATAGGTAAAACTTCCAATAAATATCAAAGATATGATTTTTTTTTTTTTTGGGATAAACACATGTGCGGTGCAGCAAGGAGGGAGAATGACAGACCTCACAACAAGACCCAGGTGAAGCGAGAGTATCGGGATCGATCGGTATCAGACGTAAAAAAACATGATAATAAAAACATACATCTGTGATGAATGTTTATTTTGCTCAGCTGGGACATGCTCTAATATGGGTCAATAGAGTAGTGTATTGATCAGGCCTGGGCTCTATCAATCCTGCAGATGGCGTGACTTCTTACCTGACACGGTTGTTACAAAACTTGACAAACTGCGGCTGATTAAGGTATATAAGCCGTGCATCTTCTTGGTCAGCCAGACATGTCTTTTCCGATGTTGTGTCTGCCGTCTTTTCATATCCTGCAACAAAAGGAAAGGGAAACGATATAAGATAGGATGAAACATTTCTAGAGAGGTTTGGTTTGGCGCATGTCCTTGAACCAAGACACAGCAGATGTGGGTGTGAAACAAAGATGTCAAATATTCTTTAACATACAGTACATCTCCGTGTGCCAATCCAATGTTGATTGTGCATAAAAAGTATTCATTGTGTCCAAAAAACAATGTGTTATAATTCATAATTTTGGAAATATGGTCAAGAGATCTACATTTATGTCTGGGTGTGTAAATTCCAAGCAGCACTATAGAATGTGATCCACAGGCATCACGAGATTATAACCAGATGGCATCCTGAAGAACTCGTATCATTGTGTCGTGCAGTGTCGTCGCAGACATTCCTGAACAGACTTGTGACCCTGAGGATCTACCCTAATGAGTCAAACAGTCACACGATGATTTTGGCTAATCTTTGGATCGTCTCAAAATGTAATGTTACTGGAAGTTCAGCCAAAATCAAACGACCTTTTTTGTTCCTTCATCATCAGCCAGGGATGGTTAAGTGCTACCACAAATATTTTGTGTTGTAAATTGCAATACTTTTATATGAAGTGTCAGAGGTTAATCATAATGGCTGTAATTAAAAAATTCAGGGAATAATTATCTCAATTTTACTTTAATTTATTATAGCGCTTTTCAACGACAGAATCACTGATTGCTCTTAAAATTGGGCCTTTTTCCCCTCACCACACAGAAGCGTTCTCAGGACCAATTGTAAATATTCAACATCAACAGGCAAATCCAAAAGACACACAGTATGTAATGCATGTAATATATTCCCAAATAAAACCAACAAATGCAACTTAATTTAGCAGAAATGTATGGTCTATCTTGTCTGAGCTATTTGGTTCATAAATGTATTTATGTATTTTTTTAAGTATAAAACTAGCTGTAATATATTGTAATTCACAATCGCAATGAAACATTTTTACAAAATCATGCAGCCCAGTCTGAGCCAGTCTGATTTTATGGGATATAAATTCTCTAATAATAAAGTTTACGGCCCCCTGTCCAATCCTTAATTTATGTGCTTTAGTATCTTTAGGAGTGGTGCAGGAGCTATATCTCTAAGTCAACGGCTCTCCGGTTGCATGTGTGTATTTCCATGAGCGCGGAGAGAGGTCAGCCGGGTACATTCTCCATGACGGCACAAGCATACGGTATAATTAATGATGGAATTATTCTGTTAATTGATAGTAATTAATCTAGTCACAATAAAATCATAAGGAAAATACAGTTAGTGATATTCGTGAGAGCCAGATTAAAGCTGAGGTAGCGAACCTTTTGCGTCATAAATAATGCATAATGCCAAGAGTCTTGTAAAAGTCAGATCAGACCACATCATGTCTTCATCTTATGAGATAACTTGTTTTGCACACTTTTTACAGCTGATTGGCTGCGTGAGGGTGGTCGCCTCTTTTCCTTTGTCTGACAAAGATGATCTAAAGACATGACAAAAGGTCAAAAATGCATGCAGCCAAAATTGTAAAATTGGTTTAGATTTGTCCTATTTTAAGGTTTAAAATGGGGTATAAGTCCATATTGCTTTACATTTTGCAGAGCATATTAGACCTAGTGTTTACCATCTCACCACAGCTACATTAGTGCTATATGGAGTTTATAGACAATCAACAGCTGGATTCAGGTTCTGAGTTTTACAATTAGATATAACACAACTAAATATGAGTAGAGCTGAAAATGGCTCCATCACACATGAACTTGTGGGTATGACTGAAGAGAAAACTAAAGGCAGAGGGCCATAGAGGGACATAGAATGACAAAGAGGGCTGGACTTGTTTGTACATGCTTCTAGAAAGGCTCACTACAGTGTGACACCGGGATCCATCTCCAGCTGTTGCTTGACTTGATCAGGATTAACTTCGTAGAGGATTTTTATGTGATGATTTTTTTTTTCCTTATATATTGAGCAATTGTGAGAGAAAAATATTAGGACATTCTTGAAACTTTCCAGGCCTAAGCATCAAGAACAAAAAAACCAAAAGGCGGATTGTGCAACCCAAACCCACAGAGATGCACCCTGAATCCACTGTGGCCCAAACATGTCCTGCTTGTCAATAAGAAACAAAGTGGAGCCTGGCATCGTCCAACTCAAGCCACACTCAAGTCCACTTTCTCCGCTCTTTCTGCACCTCACTCTCACCTTACGCTCAACACATTCTCACTGATGTTACACAAAACTCCACGCATCCATTACACCTCTTGTTGTTTTAATGATCCACTTTGCGTCAGCTCAGGGGGTTCACATTTCCGAAGAGCGTGAGCCAAACATTCCTCCGATCCTGGTTTACTCACAAGCGGGACAGTCCCCTTCAGCATGTGCCTGGGAGCTAAAAATAAGCGTGCGCCCCCAGAGTGCTTTGGTCGCAGGGAGGACGGAGGACTGGCCCACCGCGGTTCACTTATGCAAGACCCATTTAGGCGTACGTCAGATCAGCATCGGCGGTTTATAGGATTGATGTGGAGGTGAGGATGTGTGGGTGTAAGCAGCGGGGGGCTCAAGACATGTGGAGACTGTATAAGTGGAAGTGTCTAACCAGCAAGGAGGTCGCTGGCTTCCGTTTAATAATGCATGATGAAACACTGTTAATTATGTATCGTTAAACAAAATGGAAAGGTTCAAAGTTGCTTCAAAGTCGACAAGTAGCCAATAGGTGTATAACAATGTGACTTAAGAATAACCATACATGTTGTGCTATAAGATTAAAGCTAGAATACCTAATGTTTCTGTTTCATAAATCAACATGTATTTATTTGTCATGTTTTTTCTGTTTGGGATTGTACTGTGCGTTTGTTTTGTGTTGTATTTTTGTGTTTTTGTTGAATGTTGGTCTGTTTTTGTTTTTGAATATCCATCCATCCATCCATTTTCTTCCCTTTAATCCATTTCTGGGTCAGGGGGGTGGCAATCAGAGCTGCCACCCAAGTCTCATAGCACCAGCCCCTCACTGACCCTCTGCAGGTGGTGAGTCCACAGGAGGACGGCTGCTCTCTGAGTGTGAGCATAGCCTTGATCTTTCAGTGGGGGCTTTGGGCAAAGTGGGGTTAAGTGTCTTGCCCAAGGACACAACGACAGCAGTCATCAGTGGGAGTCGGTGGAGAAGGTGCAGAGGTGGGAATTGAACCCACGACCTTCTGGCCTTAAGGCCAATGCTCTACCAACTGAGCTACTGTCGCTACTGTTTTTGAATAAAAAATTGAAAATGAAAAAAAAAAAATCATACATGTTGTTTTACCTGACAAAACGAGCCTAGTGAAAGTAAAATTATGTGAGCAAATTATATCACAACATGCAGTCGTAGTCCTTTATTAGAAAAAAAGTTTTATTTTGCATATTTTTAATAATGAGATCTGGGAGTCACTAATTGCCGTGGACTTCCGGTCTGATAAAGCGGATGTAAAAGATGACCAAACTGTTTTGATTGAAAGGAAATACGAAGATTGTTACGTAGTTACCTTCTTTTTGTTTTGAAAGTTAGATACATGTGTTGCTGTCATGTCATAATTTTAACAACGCACCCATCTACAGCTCAAGGTAATAATACTGCTTTGGTTCTTTAAGAAAAAGCAACACATAATACATGGCACCCAGACAAACCAGCTTTCGAACATTTTCAACACTGCGTTTGAGATTAGATTTGGTATGCAGATAAAGTGTGCCCTACATCGACTTTTAAACACAAGATATAAAGACTTAATGCGTTCACAATATTTTCACCATCTTATGCTAAGATTTCTTAAGTAAATTTTCCAATTCTTAAACTGAAAGACAATTTAAAGACCAAAGTAGCATAATCAACCTGGTTACCTACAAACGTTTCTCTACATTTTTTCTTTCATTTTATTTCTATTTTATGAAGTTTCACAGCTCCATTCTTTGTCTGGATCACATCAAACTTGTGAAAAAACTCGGGCGCTCAAAAGGATTAAATACGCTCAAAGAGAAATACCAAATTCAAGCACTTTGTGGGCTTATTAGTTGACATTGTCTGTAGTGTGCAAAAGACTAAAATAGTAGCAGTCTTTGCAAGTTTCATAATTGTAACCATTTATTAAAGCAATTTAGATTTGATTTGCGATTAACCTTGCACCCACTGATGGGGGAGAAAACCTATGATCACCAATCCTTTTCACAAGATTCATATATGATTTGCACACAATATAAAAAATAAAATAACAATGTCTACGAATGGTTTTCAAGTGGCTCATCCAATCAGAAAGTAGAACCAACTTGATCTGACCACTCAAACCACTTTGCAATAAGATGAGCCCAGTTTCTCTCAGCAGCGCATCTTTGATCACATCGGGGCGGTGCGGCTTTAAGAGGAAACATCTCTCCAGCTAGAACGCCTCTCAAGCAGAGACGCAAACCCAGGAGGGAGGTTACTGTACAAGCTGAGGTGATGAAGCAGGGTCAGAGGCACTGTGTGTACGATGACAAATGTGCAGAGGAGCTGTGGTGCTGCAGTATGAGGTGAGTGAGCTGATTGATGCTGTATGTCTGTGAGTGCGCGCAGCGGGAGCCCGGATCACACACCAGCTGCTGCAATGCACCAGTTGCAGCTGCGCCTTCTCAACTTTGTGTTTCCCTCCTTCCAATTCATCATGTGCAGTTTACGCCATGGCTACAAGACAATAGTGGGCAGAAAAGTGGAGGAGATTCTATTGTAATACGCACATTGAGTTTTGTTTACGAAGGCAACTACAGTAGAGTTATGAATTGCTTCGTCGGCCATTCTTTCTTTGTTACCTATTAAAAACATTTAAATAAACAATGGACGCCTGACGATGATCTAACCTGGACATAAAAGGCATAGCAGCTAAAATCCAAATAACACTTGTTTTATGGTTAAAAAGGCTCTTATTCTAAATGTCAGCAAACAAAGTGTGTAGAAAAAAGAGGAACTGGCAAAAGACACTTTAAGGCAAAAAAACAGAGTCACTTG